GGTGCAGTAACAGCAGATGAAGTGCAGTAACAGCAGATGAAGTGCAGTAACAGCAGATGAAGTGCAGTAACAGCAGATGAAGTGCAGTAACAGCAGATGAAGTGCAGTAACAGCAGATGAAGTGCAGTAACAGCAGATGAAGAGCAGTAACAGCAGATGAAGTGCAGTAACAGCAGATGAAGTGCAGTAACAGCAGATGAAGTGCAGTAACAGCAGATGAAGTGCAGTAACAGCAGATGAGGTGCAGTAACAGCAGATGAAGTGCAGTAACAGCAGATGAAGTGCAGTAACAGCAGATGAAGTGCAGTAACAGCAGATGAAGTGCAGTAACAGCAGATGAAGTGCAGTAACAGCAGATGAAGTACAGTAACAGCAGATGAAGTGCAGTAACAGCAGATGAAGTGCAGTAACAGCAGATGAAGAGCAGTAACAGCAGATGAGGTGCAGTAACAGCAGATGAAGTACAGTAACAGCAGATGAAGTGCAGTAACAGCAGATGAAGTGCAGTAACAGCAGATGAAGTGCAGTAACAGCAGATGAAGTGCAGTAATAGCAGATGAAGTACAGTAACAGCAGATGAAGTGCAGTAACAGCAGATGAAGTGCAGTAACAGCAGATGAAGTGCAGTAACAGCAGATGAAGAGCAGTAACAGCAGATGAAGTGCAGTAACAGCAGATGAAGTACAGTAACAGCAGATGAAGTACAGCAGATGAAGTGCAGTAACAGCAGATGAAGTGCAGTAACAGCAGATGAAGTGCAGTAACAGCAGATGAAGTACAGTAACAGCAGATGAAGTGCAGTAACAGCAGATGAAGTGCAGTAACAGCAGATGAAGTGCAGTAACAGCAGATGAAGTGCAGTAACAGCAGATGAAGTGCAGTAACAGCAGATGAAGTGCAGTAACAGCAGATGAAGTGCAGTAACAGCAGATGAAGTGCAGTAACAGCAGATGAAGTGCAGTAACAGCAGATGAAGTGCAGTAACAGCAGATGAAGTGCAGTAACAGCAGATGAAGTGCAGTAACAGCAGATGAGGTGCAGTAACAGCAGATGAAGTACAGTAACAGCAGATGAAGTGCAGTAACAGCAGATGAAGTGCAGTAACAGCAGATGAAGTGCAGTAACAGCAGATGAAGTGCAGTAACAGCAGATGAAGTGCAGTAACAGCAGATGAAGTGCAGTAACAGCAGATGAAGTGCAGTAACAGCAGATGAAGTGCAGTAACAGCAGATGAGGTGCAGTAACAGCAGATGAGGTACAGTAACAGCAGATGAAGTGCAGTAACAGCACTAGATGAAGTACAGTAACAGCAGATGAAGTGCAGTAATAGCAGATGAAGTACAGTAACAGCAGATGAAGTGCAGTAACAGCAGATGAAGTGCAGTAACAGCAGATGAAGTGCAGTAACAGCAGATGAAGTACAGTGACAGCAGATGAGGTGCAGTAACAGCAGATGAAGTGCAGTAACAGCAGATGAAGTGCAGTAACAGCAGATGAAGTGCAGTAACAGCAGATGAAGTGCAGTAACAGCAGATGAGGTGCAGTAACAGCAGATGAAGAGCAGTAACAGCAGATGAGGTGCAGTAACAGCAGATGAGGTGCAGTAACAGCAGATGAAGTGCAGTAACAGCAGATGAGGTGCAGTAACAGCAGATGAAGTGCAGTAACAGCAGATGAAGAGCAGTAACAGCAGATGAGGTGCAGTAACAGCAGATGAAGTGCAGTAACAGCAGATGAAGTGCAGTAACAGCAGATGAAGTGCAGTAACAGCAGATGAAGAGCAGTAACAGCAGATGAGGTGCAGTAACAGCAGATGAAGTGCAGTAACAGCAGATGAAGTGCAGTAACAGCAGATGAAGTGCAGTAACAGCAGATGAGGTGCAGTAACAGCAGATGAAGAGCAGTAACAGCAGATGAGGTGCAGTAACAGCAGATGAGGTGCAGTAACAGCAGATGAAGTGCAGTAACAGCAGATGAGGTGCAGTAACAGCAGATGAGGTGCAGTAACAGCAGATGAAGAGCAGTAACAGCAGATGAGGTGCAGTAACAGCAGATGAAGTGCAGTAACAGCAGATGAGGTGCAGTAACAGCAGATGAAGTGCAGTAACAGCAGATGAAGTGCAGTAACAGCAGATGAAGTGCAGTAACAGCAGATGAAGTGCAGTAACAGCAGATGAGGTGCAGTAACAGCAGATGAAGTGCAGTAACAGCAGATGAAGTGCAGTAACAGCAGATGAAGTGCAGTAACAGCAGATGAAGTGCAGTAACAGCAGATGAAGTGCAGTAACAGCAGATGAAGTGCAGTAACAGCAGATGAAGTGCAGTAACAGCAGATGAAGTGCAGTAACAGCAGATGAAGTGCAGTAACAGCAGATGAAGTGCAGTAACAGCAGATGAGGTGCAGTAACAGCAGATGAAGTGCAGTAACAGCAGATGAAGTGCAGTAACAGCAGATGAAGTGCAGTAACAGCAGATGAAGTGCAGTAACAGCAGATGAGGTGCAGTAACAGCAGATGAAGTGCAGTAACAGCAGATGAGGTGCAGTAACAGCAGATGAGGTGCAGTAACAGCAGATGAAGTGCAGTAACAGCAGATGAGGTGCAGTAACAGCAGATGAAGTGCAGTAACAGCAGATGAAGTGCAGTAACAGCAGATGAAGTGCAGTAACAGCAGATGAAGTGCAGTAACAGCAGATGAAGTGCAGTAACAGCAGATGAGGTGCAGTAACAGCAGATGAAGTGCAGTAACAGCAGATGAGGTGCAGTAACAGCAGATGAGGTGCAGTAACAGCAGATGAAGTGCAGTAACAGCAGATGACGTGCAGTAACAGCAGATGAAGTGCAGTAACAGCAGATGAGGTGCAGTAACAGCAGATGAGGTGCAGTAACAGCAGATGAAGTGCAGTAACAGCAGATGAAGAGCAGTAACAGCAGATGAGGTGCAGTAACAGCAGATGAGGTGCAGTAACAGCAGATGAAGTGCAGTAACAGCAGATGAGGTGCAGTAACAGCACTAGATCTGACATATAGTAAATCACTGATGTCTGGAGCACAAGTAGTGATGCTGCTGGTTATTTACAGTTACACAAATATAGGAACCATAATTTTTAATATCTATGAGTGATATTGTGACAGAAATAAGAGTCTTCCTCCTTTTGTTTGATTTCGTCAGTTATTGGTGCTCCTGGACTTTGAACCACTTTAACACAGTATTTTGTTTAAAGCCACTTTTAACAGAACCAATTTGTTTAAGAGGAGTAAAAAAAGTGAGTCAGAGTGAAACTTAGTCAACATGAAACAGCATATGCAACTCATTTTTACCAGAAATGGGCTTCTACATCAGAGATAAATTGAAAATATATATATTTTTAATTTTCTGAAGACATACATCATTCATACATATACAGTACATATACATTCAGAACAAAAACACCTATTTCAGTGTCAGAACAGCGGATTTTGGAGTTTGCAGGTAAGAGTTTTCACATGAGGTGAGTGCAGATCAATGCATGTAATCTGCCACCAGCTGTAAATAACCTCCTAAGAGGATTAAGCGTGTCGGATATTCACCACAACTACGAGACAAAAGCCATTAAATGTTCCACTAGCGTAAATTAAAGACATCGTGGACTGTTTCAGTCTGTGGTGTTTAAAACATTCACCTTGAGAATGATTTCCTGAATTAATGAGAGTATTAACAGAGCAGGGTCAACAGTTACTGTAAGTAACCAGACACAGTAAATATATCTCTCTTAAAGGCGCAGTGCAGAAATAGACTGAGGTTTTTGTTAAATGGCTGATTACTAATATAAAGAATCAAAAGTGTTTCGTCGTTTTCTTATTGTTGGATGTTTGGTGTTGGTGAGTAACAGTTAAACCATATACAGCAATTTTATAACTTTTTAAAGGTACTGTATGCAATTTTTGACTGGACTGAGGCATAAAATTACCATAAAATGTTTGCAGAATCAGGAGACCCAAGTTCAAATGCTCGTTTCTCTGAAAAACGAGTTATTCTACTAACACCCAATAGTGTTTCAACATCCCGGGTTGCCAATTGGTGGGGAAAAAAACAGTGTTTTTTAACAGACCTTTCATTTGCAAACGATAAAAAAACTATTGCAAATGTATACATTAGCTGATCAACTTACACATCAACCTAACTTACCCATCTATCAACATGCAGAACATGTTAGCAATGTTAATTCATGCTAACATGTTAAAACATACTGTTATAGAAACATGCCAACGTGTTTAATCATGTTAACGAAATGCTAATAATGTGCTAAATCATGTTAGCAAAATGCAAGCAATGTGCTAATTGACGCTAGAAACATGCTAACAGTGTTCAATTAGCAAAATACGTTAAAACAGTGTAAAATCATGCTAGAAATGTTAATTCATGTTAGAAACATGTTAGTAAAGTGCTAAATCATGCTAGCAACATACTAAAATATGCTAGCAACGTGCTAATTCATGTTAGAAACATGTTAATGTGTTAAATTATGCTAGCAATATATAACATGCTAACAATGTGCTAATTCATGCTAGAAACATAATGTATTAAATCATGCTAGCAACATTAAAATATGCTAGCACTGTTTTAAAATATGCAAGATAAATGTTAAACCATGTTAAAAATGTTAGTAAATGTAATCATGTTAGCAATATGCTAAAACATGTTAATGTGTGAAATCATGCAAGGAATGTGCTAATTCATGCTATAAACATGTTCATGTTAAATCATGCTAAAACAAGATTGAGCAACATGAGCTGCTTTCGGAGTCTTTAACCATTTTCAAGAACCGGCTAAAGACGCATCTTTTTCCTCAACACTTGACCCATTAATACTCAAATCTATTAAGGGTTGACTGTTGAATATTTCTTCTGAAGTGTTTGCTGCTATAATTCTCACTTCAACTCCATCTAGAACATCACACGCTGCAGTGACATCAGTCAGAACCTTTAATTAACAGTTTAATCAGAATAAAACACATCAGATCAAAGATGGACAAAGATTCTTTATTTACAACCCCCAATGAAGCGCAGGAAACACAATACAGCCCATCTGAGCTCAAACTACATAAAAACTGTAAATAAAAAAAGAATTACAAGGTGGAAAATAAAAGATCCAAATGACAGCAAACCGGTTCTGGAAAATTTCATCCCTCAGATCAGGTCAGCCACTGAAAGACAAGTCAATAGACCATGAATATCTCAACATCGATAATCTTGCACTCATTTATTTTTTTACAATGCCTTTATTCATGTCACAAACAACAATTATAGAACAATAAATAATAAAAAAAAATTAAAAAGCCAGAAGAAAAAAAAATTCCATTGATATGAGGTTTAACAATGACGGGTTTTTTTTTTAAATAGTATTTTATAGAATTTTTTTTTTTTTTTTTTTTGCCAAACCAAGAAACAACTTGAATTATTGTCTACCATAAAAAAAATTGACGAGGATTCTTAACTAAAAATTAACACTTTAGCATTATTTATTTTAAACCCTCTGGTGCTCTGCGGTCATTTTTGAGTGAAAAAGTTTAAGTTTTTTTACTTTTTACTTATAAAAAAAATGGCTTTGATTTTCTCACAGTTTTAGAGTAAAACATGTTTTTGAAAATATACATTTCATATCAAAATTGAAAATAGTCTTTTTGTGCATTTTTCAAAAACGTAAAATTCTGTAACTTTTTAAAAACTTTTTCCACTTAGCAATAATCTGCCAAGCGTCGTCTTTGCTGTAAATCTTGAATGCTTTAGAGCAAAGGCTTAAGTTTGAGAATTAAATTTTCAGGTCTATGCTCAAAAAGTTAATAAATGGATTATAAATACAGCGTAAATATAATTTTTTACCATAAAATCCCCTAAAAAGACAAAATATTAAAATGAAAAAAAAAACTAAAATATAGTACATGCATTTCATTGAAATAAAAAAGGGTTAAAAAGGGCACCAGAGGGTTAATAATCTGAGTTAGTGATGTGGTAAATAAAAACAATGTTTAATGTGTCATCAATAATAAGAATTCCTTTTATTGAAAGGTTATGATGATGACGTCCGATTGGTGAGAGAGATGATGCCAGACTCACCGTTCATGGGCATCTCGTCGATCTGTGTGGAATAGTACTGCTCAATATCTCGGAGGATACGGATGTCGTCGTTCTTCACAAAGTTGATGGCCACACCCTTCCTGCCGTAACGACCCGATCGACCAATCCTGACGAGAGACACGACAGGTCAGACACACCTACATCTGATGTCATCACATCCGTCACGAGCAGTGTGATTACAGCATCACTGAGATACTGTTATATTATTAAAAGATTTAATTAGTTTTTATATTTTTCTAGTTTTAGTCATTTATATTTTTTAATGTCTGTATAGTAAAAAAAAAAAAAAAAAAAAAAATTCAGCGAGTTAATTCTTGCTCACTACTGTGAGACTGAGGTGTGTGTGTGTGTGTGTGTACCTGTGGATGTACAGCTCTCTGTTGTTGGGAAGATCGTAGTTAATGATGAGAGAAACCTGAGGCACATCCAGACCTCTGGCCCAGACGTCTGTGGAGATCAACACTCGACTGCACACAAGAAACACACACACACAATCTCAAACACTTGAGTGACATAAATCTGCTTCCACTGAACACTGTATTAAAGGACGTAACGGCATATTGTGACGTACATCCGAGTGTAACGGATTATGAAAAAAAGTATGGCGGGGATTGGTTCTGTGCATCAGTTGTTGATTGGGTGCTGAGATGTGGGCGTGGCTCTCAGTGTACGCAGATGATCTTGAGCTTGAGGGGCGGAGCTTGGTTCTGCGCATCAGTTGTTGATTGGGTGCTGAAATCTGGGTGTGGCTCAGTGTATGCAGTGTGAGTTTACCTGGCTCCAGATCTGAACTCCTTCATAATAGACTCTCTCTCTTTCTGAGGCATGTCTCCATGCATCGACGACACGGTGAAGTTCGCCTCCCTCATCTTCTCCGTCAGCCAGTCCACCTGAAGACACACGGCAGGAGTTAAACCGAAACACGAGGCGTCGTTGACTACAGTTCAAAACTGATCAATCCGCTTTGTCTAGTTAGACTACAAATAAACATTACAGGCACAAGTTTGGATTTATTAATGTTTCCAGGGTTCCTGCACACTTTTGAAAGTCAAATTTAAGGCTTTTTAAGACCTTTTTAAGACCTGAAGAAATCAAAATTAATACCGTACATTAGGGCTGTGCAGTTTTGACAAAAATATATCTTGATATTTTCAACGTTTTGTTGATAATAATTAGATGATATTTTACTGATTGTGTTATAGGTTTGGTCTGTTTAGGTCTAGGTCTGTTGGGGTCTGTTGTTGACAGCTGACTCACGAAGATATTCATATTTTTCATATTCTATGCAGTGGTCAGTTCACAGCAGTGACAGAAATTAATATTTTAATTAAGGGGCAATATTTGCCACCTTAAATTGATTTTTTCAGGGGCATTTTCACCTATATATGGACATTTTTTCTAAACTTATTTAGAGTTATGCATCACCTTTAATGTCAAATACTATCATTCAAATTAAATTATACAGTAATTATACAATAATCCTTAATTATATAATAATCATACAGTACCACTGTTACAGTCAAATTAAATCATTCAATCAAAATCCATCTTTGCAGTGCAGAGGTGACAGAAGCGGCATCAGAAGTGGCATTAATATATTTACACTCCATTTACAACTGCATAAATAAAGCTATGAGATATATATTTTTAAATAAATATTCAATATTTAAATATGAAATGATTTCTAATTTTAACATTTTATTTAAAGGGTACTTTAAATATGAAACCGCAGCGGCAAATCACTGTCTTAATAAGTGAGTTGAGGGAGTCATTCATTCAACCGATTCGTTCAAACGGCTGATTCATTCGGGAAAGAAGCAAGTGATTCGTTCAAACGGCTGATTCATTCGGGAAAGAAGCAAGTGATTCGTTCAAACGGCTGATTCATTCGGGAAAGCAGCAAGTGATTCGTTCAAAACGCGGATTTCAGTCAAGAAATCATCGCTGTGTTGCATTGAGACTCTGCTACGGTTTCATTTTGAAATTATAGTCGGCGAAATAAAGGGAAAACAAACAATATTGACAATATTGTGTCTAAAAAGTAACTCAATGTTAACTTATTGTTAATTTAACAGTTGTATAACATAAATATCACAATTGGAATTGTGCACGGGAAAACGGCACTCTTTCTGATGTGATATTCTAATATAAGAACATAATATGATATAAATATAAGACAAAAACTAACTTGGGGACATAACAGTTACACTGCACACATCACGCAGTGCAAGCACGAGACAAATGCGATGTCAGCTCGCAGTGCCTCGTACATCGTTAAAACAATGATTACAATTTCATAAAAGACGATACACATCGCACACCATACGCACATAAAGAATGAACTCACAACTGAACTGACATTTACGACCTTTCTTCTCCTTCTCTCCTCTCGCGTGCAGGAGACAGTTATGCTGCCGCGACTCGCGAGTGACGCGAAATGTCACGTGAACTAGCAAATCCACAAAGATAGAATAATAAATAAATTAAAATACGTACGCTAATTAGATGGTTTTAATTTGGAAAGCTTTTAGATATGTCTAAGTCAGTGTCATCTAAAATTTAATACCTTTCATAAGTAAAAATAAGACTTTATAAGACTTTTTATGGCCTTAAATTTTAAAAATCTAATTTAAGACTTTAAGGATCCGCGGGAACCCTGGTTTCTGAAAGAGTCTCTTCTGCTCGCTCAGGCTGCATTTATTTGATAAAAAAAAAAAAAAAAAAAAAAGTAAAACAGTAATATTACTCCAGTGTAAATCATCTGTTTTCTATGTGAATATACAGTAAAGTGTAATTTATTCCTGTGATCAAAGCTGAGTTTCAGCATCATTACTCCAGTCTTCAGTGTCACATGATCCTTCAGAAATCACTCTAATATGAGGATCAAGAAACATTTATGATTATTATCAGTGTTATAAACCGTCATATATTACAATTTAAAAGCTTAAAGCTCCAGTCCGTATCTTTTCCTCTTTGTCGCCATCTCTCTGTTGGAAATCTGTAACTGCAGTGATTGGCTGAATTATCATCTTTACGTGGGTTGTAAATCGGCATGAAACAGCGCGGATGAACACAGTGCTTTGAGGCGAGTGCTGCTGTCCGTCACCGCGCTGTGTGGATACTGGCATACAGAATCACAGATTCACTTTTTGAAAGTTTGACCAACATAAGAATTTTCATAAGAAAATGTCTTCTGAACAAGTAAGTAACATCCATTTTTGTTCTGACGAACTAAGGGGGAAAAAGCATTCGACATGATAAGCTTCGTTAGATTTAATCAACGCGATTTACAGCAACCGTGCAAATTATAGCCTACTTTGTTCTCAAATTGTTCATGTTAACAACATCAGCATTGCGTGACTAATGTTAAATATAATGTGTTTTATGGTTACCTGTGTAGTTCAGAATTCATATTCTCCATAATAGCAAAACGAGAAAGGCACAACAAAGGAAACTCCATAACTGTGTGAATTAAGAAAACGTACTGTTACACGATTGAACTATTGAAATGTCTTACTTGTTCAGCAGAAAAAAGCCGTCTCTTCTTCCGTTTCGAACCCCTTCAAAACACGGAGTTCACGCACTTTTCAAAAGCCCCGCCGATGTTTAAATCCTTGTGTTCGCATGAGACGGTTTCTTTCTCTTCCTCTTTCCACCTTAAATCCGAAGTACGAAGTCTTTTGGGTTTTATAACTGCTGAATCTCCAGTTGACACTGATGATTGTTGTTTGGATCTTTCTGGATGCCATAAGTTTAATAATGTAAAGTGCTGCAAGAAAAGCCTATACATCTCTACATCTCGTCACGCGCAGTATAGCCGGCTAGCCGAAACTCCTTTATGTGTACGGGTGTGACGTCATGACGCAAAGACATGCTCGAATTTCCCGCGGAAACCCACCAGTACCACTGGAATTAAAATCATTATTACAAGCTAACCGTTTTGAATCTAGCTATGGCAAGCAGATAGTTTTGACCACTGGCAGAATAAGTTTTTTTTTAATATAATTATTTTGGATTATTTTTAACTTAAAAAAGTTACGGACTGGAGCTTTAAAGTAAGATTAAAATAACACTTTTATTCATCCAGGACGTGTTAAATTGATCAAAAAGTGACAGTAAAGACATTTATAATGTTATAAAATATTCTATTTCAAATAAATGCTGATGAACTTCGTGAAACATTTAATTTGTCAGGATTCTTTGATTAACAGTTTCCACAAAAATGACATTTTACAATATATTTTCACATAAAAAAACAGCTCTTTAAAACATAATAGACAGTTTTTACTGCATTTTTGAATAATTCCAAACTTGACAGGTAATGCAGTTTAGTGCATGAAAACACTCAGTAACAGCAGCACAGCCCTCACAATACAGGAGAACGTCCTGCATAACAAACACGGCTGTCAATTCAACGCTGAAGACTGGATGTTTTTAGATATTTCGATGGGATTTTAGTTTTAGTGTTTAGCAGCTGACCTTGCGTTTGGTGTTGCAGAAGATGACGGCCTGTGTGATGGTCAGCGTGTCGTACAGGTCACACAGCGTGTCGAACTTCCACTCCTCTCGCTCCACGGCCACGAAAAACTGCTTAATGCCCTCCAGGGTCAATTCATCACTGCAGAGTCATGCAAACATCAACCCAACATGCAGTGTGTTCTCACAGAGCAGCTACAGGTGACACACACACACCACATCTACAATAACAGTTGTCTTTAGAGATGCTTTACAGCAGAACTGAATTCTATTCGCATCACTGATGATTATAGAAATAAAGGTGACTTGACTTGTAAAGCCTGCCATATAAAATGTCAAAAAAAAGAGTTGAAATGGAACAGTTTATTGAACCTTTAGACAGAAGAAAACTAAGGTATATTTAATACATCAGGCTTTTATGGCTCATATAGTCTGATATAGTGAGAATATGGAGGAATTAAAAAAAAAATATATATATATTCAGAGACTCAAACTGAGTAAAGACGAGCTGTTGCTGCAGATGCTGATATTTATATGCACTAAAAGTGATAATTCTGATGCTTGTGATGTAAATCAGTGAGATCTTTATAGCAGATACTTACATAAAATGCATATAAATATCAATATCTGCCTGTAATATGTCTTAGTGAGATGATATTTAAATGCTAAGTTTTATGATCTGTAGTTTTAAAACTCAATACAACGATGATTTAGAGACGAACAAATAAACCTTCCTCAAAAGCCTGATGATCATATTTGATACTCATGATTTTTCTAATAAATGATGATTATGATCAATAAACCTGCTTCAGTCCAGCTGAAATATTACTAACAATATCAGAGTTATTCTTGCGTTTACTTGATAAACTCAGTGTAGATTTGACACAGAAAGACTCGTGAAGCTCGAGCTGAAGGAGGACGTTTGTACAATTACACTGAGAGACTTTTACTGGATAAAAGAGTCTAAACTCTGTCACACACAGAAGGACTGGAGGAGAGTGTGTGAAAATATCATGTTGATCATTTAGAGGTGTGTATTAAATATAATACAGTGGTTTTAAAGAGTTCAAAGTTGTAAAGTGAGTTTGTGCATCTTTCTTTCCACATCAGTTTGATATTTACTCATCGAGTGCGATCATATTGAGAGATTAAGTGTGATTTGTGATTTAATGAGCTCAAGCGTCTCACCGTTTGACCAGAATGCGTATGGGGTCGGTCATGAACTTGTTGGTCATCTCGAGGATCTCGTGTGGCAGCGTGGCGCTGATCAGACACACCTGAGTGGCGGGCGGCAGGTATCGGTACACGTCGTAGATCTGCTCCTTAAACCCTGCGAAAGCAAAGGGAGTCAAACGCGAGAGCGGACACAGGTGTGCATGCGTTCGGGAGGAGCGCAGGACGCTTTACCCTTGTTGAGCATTTCATCTGCTTCATCCAACACCAGCATCTTAATGGCACGGGTCCTCAAACTCCTCCTGCGGATCATGTCTGCAAGACAGAAGATTACGCTATGATCATGAACATTAACAGGACCTTCTCTTTTGAAATGAGATTGTAATGTACAGTGAGAAAGACTGTACACATTTACACATCAACATCCACTGAGTATTTAAACACCGTGTTCGTCATTACGTCTTGCGTCAAGTGTCGCTCTTTAGGCGTGAATCGAAGCTCGTTATTTTAGTCAAAGTTTTAAATATGGATATTTTTCTTACACGAACGCATCGCTTCACACGGCCTTTATTAACCCCCCGGAGAGCCGTTTCGAGCACTCTATCACGGTTGGACAGGCTTTGATGGACTTTCAAAAAAATATATCCATTCACTGCCATTATAAAGCTTGGAAGAGCCAGGACATTTATTAACATAACTCTGATTGTGTTCGTCTGACAGAAGAATGTCATACACACCTAAGATGGGTTCAGGGCGAGTAAATCAAGGGTTAATTTTCATTTTTAGGAGAACGATCCCTTTAATTATACGTGAAGAATGAACGTTAAGCTCACCGAACACTCGGCCGGGCGTTCCTGCCACCACATGCTGCCCGTAGTCCAGCTTTCTGATGTCCTCGCCCACGTTTGTGCCTCCGATGCAGGAATGACACTGAACATTCATGTAGTCGCCCAACGCCAGAAGCACCTGCACAACAGAGAACAACAATTCCAGAACTTGAAGCACTACTTTTTTGGTTTTCAAGGACTACAATCAGAGATCGCACTTATCAAACAATATCTTTATTATCTTTCAAATTCAAAAAAATGTAAATACATAAAAGGAAAATAAAAATGGTAGAACAAATAAAGTGCAGCACATGCAATGACTCTGGTAACTTTAACCATTGAAAAGGTATTATGACAAAGATATCGCTTTCCTATTTCAAACTGACCCCCCCCCGTGATTATATGATTGAGCTGACGACTGAAGGCTGCATCACATATTAGGATATTTATGAGCAATATCACACTCACAGTCATGCCAAATGCCTCCATGTCTATATCAGACGGGCTGCAGCGTTAATATTGCGCGAAAATATAGTTTTATCAATAAAATGAAACACTAATTTCACATATCTTGTCTTTCAATAATTCAAGCACCTTTTCATAAATATTTTCAAGGGTTTTCCAGGACTTAAATTTCAGAAAGTCAAATTCAAGCACCCTGTGTCAGACACGCGAGATTACAAAAATAAATGTGTTTTCTAAATCTTGACTTTACCTTCTGGATCTGTCCTGCTAACTCTCTGGTCGGAGCCAAAATCAGCGCTTGAGTCTCTCGAACCTGGGCAAAGAAGAAAGGGGCAAAAAATTCCATGTGATGAAAAAAAAACTTGGAACTATAACATACTTTAAAGTCCCCCTGTGGTAAAAATCCAGCGTTTAATGTTGTTTATGTGTCTATGTGGTGTTTTTATTACGCTTTAAGACAATGCTAAATGAGGTGAGGGTGTCGAGTAGGGTTGGGTACCGAAACGCGGTGCCAATAGGGAACCGGTTCTGACGTAAACGGTAGTAACCAGACCGAATAAGAACGAAAATTTCGGTGCCTGAGTCTCTGTGGCATAAGGCGCACACACGCAAAGTCTCTCTCTCTCTCTCTCCGCCGTGCATGCACTATACGGTTTATTGGAGCACTGTCTGTTCTGTCTCACATGCGCGCTTTTGCTCGCTCGCTCAAGCGTTCCGGGAGATTTTAACTAATTTGCGGGCATCAGGGAGCAGTTATCAATATGCGGGAGACTCCCGGAACGTCTGCTGATAGCGAGGGGATTATTGAAGATGCCGAAGACAAAACGCTCCAAGGTTTGGCTGCATTTCACATGTAAAATTATGCGTCAGAACGATTGTCTGAAGCCCATATAGAATCAGGATTCACTCCAATCCATTGGCTGATGGCGCGGCCGCCGCCTTGACGCTCTTACGTCGTCATATTCTATTAGCGCGCGCATCATCTGCTCCTCAGAGTTCTCTGCCGAAAAAGGAAGCTTCAAGCTTGTCGGCAGCGCGAGGAGTTTGGCAGTGAACGCAGCGTCTCGTTCCCTATTCAGAGAACATGGGTTACACCAGTAACCAGAGACGTTCTCTAGCATACGTTTACTCAAAGCTGCATAGCTAAGACGCAGTGGGAACGAAATACCAAACTTGCCAAGCTAAGCGCTGCGTAACTAGTACAATGATCAGATCACTTACATGACTGGTTCAAGCAGACAAAACATGGGAACCTGTAGCCATGTCGATATTAGATTACCCAGGTAGTAATCTCTGTTAATCTCCAGTATTATTACATTGTTTGATACAATATTGTTTTATTTGATATTATGTAATGTGAATTTTTATTTTATATTGGTTTATTTATTATTACCATATTGTTTAAAGATATAAGTTAATATTGGCCCTGTAAATAAAGGGGTATTATTTTTTGACAAAGTGTGTGCGGTTTCGTTTTCTTAAGTATCGTTTCAAGAACCGTTTAAGCACCGGAACCGTTTAAAAAATACCGAGTAGGTACTGGTATCGGATAAAACCCAACCGATACCCAACCCTAGTGTCGAGTTACATTCAAGACATTTAAAAACATTTGGGTGATCAAAGATGAGTTTTAAGGGATACAATTATTGACTACAGGGGGGCTTTAAATATAAATATTTAAAATACTGACACAAAGCTACAGTAGTATAGCAATGATTGATACTAAGACACTGGAAGGTAAGGGAAAAGCGCAACGCACCTGGATATCCAAACACTGCAGCACGGAGATACAGAACGTGGCCGTTTTACCGGTTCCAGACTGAGACCTGGAGAACAGACACACCGCGTGAGTCAATGTACATCACCAGAACCAACAAACATTTATCTTCTCTACAACACATACTGGGCAATGACGTCTCTCCCCTTGATGATCTGTTTGATGGCTCGCTGCTGGATGGCTGACGGCTTCTCAAAACCTGAAACAACCATTAAAATAATCATTAAAGGTATTTTCATCCTAGCATGATGACAGTAACCGTAACTGTCCCGCAGCAAGACGCTATGCTGTGATGAACATCCCACAATATACAGTGAGACTATACGCATCAAATAGGGGTGTAACAATATGGATCGATATAAAAAAATCAATTGCTACATTTTTTTTTTAAAGAGACCACTTTATTTTGACAATCTTTCACTGCTCTTTACTAAATAACTATTAAAACTTTAATATTATAAATCTATTATTTAATGTATACAGTGAAGATTATGCAGTGTTATTAAACACGTGATTAATTTCTGTGCCTGCAAACTTCTTAGACCTACCTGAAAAACACTGATTATTTCATTTGAGTCCTTGTTTTACTGTATTTATTTCTGGTATTGCTTGTTATTTGGTTACCTGCTGAAAATATGATGAATCAATTGTAATCATATCACTAGATTTTGTTTATGTATCGCCAAATATCGTATCGTTGGCTGTGAGAATCGATATCATATCCATATTTACACCCCTAGTATAAAATATAAATATCATTCTAATCTCTCATTACCTTACACACAAACATATCATTCACTTGAACACACACACACACACATAACTTATATATAACACAACAATGTCTACTGACTGAACTAGTTGAGTTTAACACAGTAACGTTAAACTGAGGCAATGGACGCTCTATTAAAACACCACAATCGCCTCAGTCACTAACAAACATGATGAAGTAAAGGAACCGGTATTATAATGATTATTTAAAGGGAACTAATATCCGTGTATTGATCAGCACCGTTCGCGTAATTCTTCCCTCACTTCCAAATAAATCTCATACGCAGCTCTATAACCTGATATGTCGTGAATTTCAGCAGTAATTAATGATTAATTAAGCGTTTTTACCGTACGCGTAGATCCCGCGCAGTAAATCTTCCCTCAGGCCCATCGTGTCGAAAGTCGGAGTCACATCCACCTCCTCACTCGTTTCAAACTCGATTTTAGTCATATCTTCCTCCTTCATGAGCCTCTTTCTCACGGGAACTGCGGCGGCGGTCATGATTATGAGTGATTTTTAATATAAATTACGGATTAAAATCTGAAAGCGCGTCTTTGCGCGTACACAGGCCGAACGGAAGAGCCGCGTGTGTCGCAGCTGTGACGCACAATGCATGAGACGCGTGATGATGACGTTATCCTGACTGTCCCCGCCCACTATTTAGATTAAAATCTTGAGCTGTGTCCGAAACCGCTCCTTATCCACTATATAGTGCACTCAAATGCCACAAACTAGTGATTCGTGAAAGAGTGAACGAGTGGTTTCGGATACAGCTATGTATCCCGTTTCACATTCCCTTAAAGGGACAGTTCAACAAGTTGTATAATATGAATTTATTTCTTCTGCTGAACAATAAGAAAGATATTTAAAGAATGTTTGTAAGCAAACAGTGGATGGACCCCGTTGACTTCCATAGTTTTTTTTTTCATGCTGTGGAAGTCAATGGTGCCTCACAACTGTTACAAACAATCTTCAAAATATTTTCCTTTGTGTTCAGTGAAAGAAAGAAGGAATGAGTAAACAATGAAAATAATTTTTTTGTGGGTGAACTATCCCTTTAAACAGTAAACGTGCAAATAATAATACATTTCTATAGTTTAGTGGCCTTGATTTACAATGCTGTGCTGTTTTATGTTTATCATGTGTTATTGTTGAGTAAAAATGGCAACAACACAAAATCTTTCAAAATGTCACATTAGCCAATTTTAACATTATCTTCTGGCACATGAAATGAGATTAAGGAGCTTGACACTAGTACGGACTAATCAAACCGACACATTTCTTCTACCATGAAGAATTTGACTTTGAAACCACATTTAAAGAAATTAATGTTATAATATATACGTAAAGTCCCCCTGTAGTCAATAATTGTGTCCCTTAAAACTCATCTTTGATTACCAAAATTACCTTTTTAAAGTTTTTTACTTTTAAAAAAAATGTTTTAAAATATCTTGAATGTAACTCGACACCCTTGGCTCATTTAGTATGTGCGGTTCTATGAATATGCAAATGAGCCCCGCCTCCACTCACTCACTCAGCTCAGAGATCCACTGGTTGATGAGCACACGTTGATCTGATTGGTTACAAGGTCGTTTGTGACGTCAGAAACACCAGCGATTTCAAACCGTGTTTTTGAGACTGTCTTTGGTTCACTGCAGTTTTAAGGAGGAAATACTCAGCAATGCTGTCGACTTATGAACTTACACATGGTTTGTGTTAAAGCGTAATAAAAACAAACACCACATAGACACATAAACATGAATTATTATTTTTTTAGCTTTAAGGTTCTATCCAGTTACACTGGGTCAAAGCACATTTATTTCTATAGCACTTTCAGTGTTTCCCCTAGGATTTTTTTCGGGGGGGGGGGGGGGGGGGGGGGGGGCTGCTAGTGTTGCGGAGCGGCGTGTTACGGATACGTGGTGTAAATTTTTTAGCAATCAAAAAGCATGTCTAATTACTTGAAATAGTGTATTATGAATCATTAAACGTATACAACATTTTTTTTTTTTTATATGAAAAAAAAATTCACACTAATTCTGTGTTGTGTTTTTTCTGGTAATAAAATGAAGACATAAAACACAAATTTTATCATTTATCATAAATTTTAATCATATGAAATTAAATAAACTTTTTGTCAAATAACGTGCTGCACAATGAGCTTTACTGTTAAAATTAAAACATGGATTATTCCTTAAATTCAGTTTTGATGATAATTTATTTGGATTAGTGTTAGTATTATTACATTGGGACATATCTAAATTCTACTGTACAACGGTAATATATTTCTGTCAAGTTAAACCGAACTTTTATTTTGACGGGTTGCCGTGAAGACCTTTTGAGTTTGCGTGTTTATGTCATGATGAGCGTTTTTCTCAAATGAAGCGGTGAAATGATCACGAAGTGACTTTCGGAGTGGATCTAGAGCCTGGAGAGGAAGTTCATGCATTTGTGTCTTCATATAGGCAAAAAAACAGCGCAAGCGTCACACGTGCTTCAGTGTGTGTGTGTGTGTGTGTGTGGTAAATGAAACTGCACGTCGGCTGCACCATTCATTCACACAGAACACGCAGGATTCGTATTTAAATTGTCTTTGTGGTTTAATATCCACACACACACTTGTCTACATCGCGATTTGATTTCAAGCGTATACTAAACTGCTTTCTATTTATTCCTCAAAAGATTGACAAATTCCATGAAATTCCGCGTTATACAGTAAATTTATTTTTTATGACTGGATTTCGTCAGCAATTTATGGAATAAATTCCTTTCTTTGAAGTGATGGAAACTCCTTCCTTTCGAGTTTCCATCACTTTTAATCTAGTTTTGCATGATTTTTCTAGTCATTCATAATGAGTGCAAGGGATTTGTAACATTTATTATTTTATGAGGATGAAACTCATCAAGAGTGCATTATTTCCTGCCCACCTTTTTAATGGCGTTTGTTCCAGAAGTATTTTGCACCAGAGATTTTAAAAAGGCTTTGTTATAAGTGACAAACACTAAACTATGATTTGAAGCAAAAAAGTATTTAAACACAGAGGTATGAGACGTGATCTTAGCAGGAAAGAACTACTATCCCACTTTTAAAAAAGGGTTTCAAAGTGTAAGTTTTGGAAAACAATCCCATTATAGTCTCAAAAAACCTTTGTTAGATGCAACTAATCGATTTGACAGCATTTATATTTATATTATTATAAGCTTTTTTCCTGTTGATTGGTGTAATTTTCCGTAGAGCATCATGGGTAATGTAGTTTTTCATCAGGAATTTCACTGTTAAACAGGATTTAAAAAAATTAAGTTAACATGGGCTGACGGTAGGGATGTAACGATTCACTCATCTCACGATGCGATACGATTCACGATACTGGTTTCACGATACGATTTTCTCACGATTTTTTTTTACAAATGAGATTTAAGACAAAAGTGTCCCTTTTATTATTTCTCAGACAAAATGCTGCACATTTCTTTTTAATTTAAAATATATATGTCAAATAATAAAACTACATTATAAAAATTCCCTTCAAGGTTGTTTCAACTCAGTCTTTCTGTCTGTTTGGTCAAGAGGCTGGACACTGGTACCTTCGCACACTATGTAAAAGACTGTGTAAAATTAGTACCAGATTGACAGGGGTTTTACATTGTAATAAAGGCAAGATTCTAATTTTGTTACAATTTGTATCATTACACTAGTTAGTAAGAGTAAAAAAAACCCCACACATTTAGAGAAAGAGATTGTAAAATAAATACAACACCTGGTTGCCACGGAAACACTTGATGCACCTTGTGATCTCCGTGGCTCTCGCAATAGGCTTTATGCACAGCTTCACTACTTCCTGAACTTTAGCCAGCTCCTTTGTTTTCTGTCTGCCATTATTGGACAAACTGATTAATCCAGGTGTGCCTGGCCTCAGTAACAATAATCAGGCACACCTGGATTAATCAGTTCGTCCAATAATGACAGACAGGAAACAAAGGAGCTGGCTAAAGTTCAGGAAGTAGTGAAGCTGTGCATAAAGCCAATTGTCGTATTTATGACTTTTACATGAAAACGGAGGTGACTGGTGCTTCTCACGGTGGTGATTATTATTAGTCTACGGAAAGTCAAAATGCCGCCACACCTCCGTTTTGAATGAGTCAACGTCAACATCTACGCTTGCCGACGCCATGTCTACTGTTTGACGGCGCGTGCACACCAGTCTATAGCACGCACTGGTGCGGCGCGAGCGGAGCAAACCGAGCGCTTTCAGTTCAATCCTATGAAAGTTGAGCTTGGCTCACACAAGATCAAGTTCCATGAATGAAGTGAAAACACTCGCTAGCTTCACGCCAGTGTGTGCTCGCTGCTATTGTGCCTGTAAAGCGAGGTTCACAACTTCACAGTATAGGCTATACAGTAAACGCGCCCTGCTGTTTAAGACGTGTATCGCGATTCGTTTAACATTTCAACCGACTTGAATCGTCACACATTTTTATCGATTTTCAACCGGTTGCGAGTGAATCGTTACATCCCTAGCTGACGGATTCAGCAGAAGCGAATCCCATCGATTAACACCCTCGTAGCTCACAGTCTTTAAAGGTTTAGGAGTTACCGTTGAAAATCTATTTCCCTATTGAGAAAATGAATGTTTTGATTTCCAGAACCACTGTTCCACACTTCAGCACAATTTAAAATGTAGTTTTCACATTCCCTTCCCCTCAATCAATGTCTTTCCCAACTAATTTTCCATGACTAAATCTGATTATTTTAGAAAAGCAAATCTACACCACAATCATGCAAATTCAAACGTTTTGTTTTGCAATGAAAGACAGAAGCAAGTCCCGCTCTAGACTCAGGTTTATTATGGGATGTTCCAACGAGCCACAGAGAAACACAGTCCGATAGGGAATGAAGATCTGTACACAACCAGTGCGGTTACTGGTCCTTGAGCTCCTTCAGCCTCTTGATGGCAGATTTAACCGTGACGGCTGACGTTGTGCTGTGGAACAAACAGAGCGAAACGTTAGAATATTTAAAGCGGTGGTTGATCATGATGTCACTTGTCTCGCTGTAGTGAGTGTGTGATGTTGCTGTTTGAGCGTAAACAACATCTGCACAGTTACGACTCAAAGCTCAGAGCAAAGGGAGAGATTCGCTTTTACAGAAATCACTTTTTAAGGACTACAACAAACGGCTGGCAGGAACTACAATGAGCTTCTTCACCGGTTAGTGACATCACAAACACTAACATTTACATAAGCCCCACCCCCGGAACACGCTTTATAGATGATCATGACAGAATATGCTAATCAATGACTAGAAGATCGTTAACTCCACATCAGCTGCATAAACTCATCAACTAACCGTTCAGAAATGTCCTGTTGCTTCTACATGTCGTCACTTCTAGAGTCTCTCATCTTTGACTCCGCTTTCAACATAAAAGGCTAAACGTTTTTGAAATGTTCAGTGTGTGTGTGAGGTAATCGGAGCTGCTAACACACACACTAGCTCTTGAAGCTCCGCCCCCTGTGCCGGGAGCAGCAGCTCATTTGAATTTAAAGGGACACACACAAACGGCGTGTTTTTGCTCACCTTCAAAAAGTGACAATTTCAACATGTTATATAAATATCTGTGGGGTATTTGAGCTGAAACTTCACACACACACTCTGGGGACATCAGAGACTTATTTCACATCTTGTGAAAAGCGCATTATAGGACCGCTTTAAACATTAGATGAAGCTTTGATCAGGAATGGCGTTCGCTCTTACTTGTATGTCCAGGCGCCTCCAGCCACAGTTTTCATGCAGGATCCACAATGCCAGATACCAACAGCCTTTCTCTTCATCTTAGTCTGAACACACAGAAACAAACAACTGACAATTCATATTTTGTATGGAATAATGCAGTGTTTATTCTGAATGATTTATAGGTGCACATCATCATTATAGTTTTAGTAATCTTGAATCAGAATAAGTTCCTCTTGCAGCTTCTCTTCTCTTCCCGGATGACGAGGGCGGGGCGAAATATTGTTAACATTGAGAACCTAAATAATATAAGGAAGTTAAAACACATTTATTTTACATTTCCCGATAAAGATGCATCATATATCCTCCCGCTCTGCGCTTTGAGATGTGGGACACGATAGAGACAGTCATCCTCTTTTCTAATATCTCCATATTTTCTCCTGATGTTGTCAAAGGTCTGAACAGTGAACTTTATCTTCCACAGGTCGAGACATTCAGACGACGTTTGATTTTGTGCTGCCAGAGAACGCAAAACTAAAATCCCAAAGACGTGAGTGAAATGCGCTACACAACTAAACTTGAAGTGCCTTACCGTAACACAAGCACAAACAGTGTTAAACAGAATTTGATGTGAACGCAAAAAGCTATCAGGCCTATTATATTCGCATTTTTACTGTGGTAAAGTAACAAAAATAGCGCTGTAGGACAAATTAAAAGCGAACTAAAGGAAGAAACGTTTATAATCCCCTGCGAAAATGAGTGAAGATATTCCATGTCCAGTGGAATATTGTTAAATTCGCTGATAATCGGGTGACCAGATCGCAAGACAAAGATTATATTTGTGTGCTCAGGTGACGCACGCCTCTCGTTCGGCACGAATCCAAACGTTTCCATGGATGCGATGTAACATTGAATGGCTAAACTATTATTTCTTTTGTAAACGAAGCTTTGTGCTTCACTCGTGTCACAATATTCACGTGCAAAAAAATGTGTTTTGGCGACCCAGCGACACAGGACGGCGCCTCACCTTTCCACAGAAAGAACAGGTGTATTTGGCATGTTGGCTGATCTCAATCTTCTTCACCATCTTCCTGAGGGACGCGCCGTAACGGGTGCCGTACTTCCCCACAATCCCCACCTTCTTGGTGCGCTTGGCCTGACGAGCAAAGAAACATATATCAACACGGGACACTTCGCAGAGAGAGGTCAATAAATATGACTTTACAGAGATTTCAATAAATATGAGATGCTTTACATAGAGATTTCAATAAATATGAGATGCTTTACATAGAGATTTCAATAAATATGAGATACTTTGCATAGAGATTTCAATAAATATGAGATACTTTGCATAGAGATTTCAATAAATATGAGATACTTTGCATAGAGATTTCAATAAATATGAGATACTTTGCATAGGACACATTTCAATAAACATGGAAAATTATAAATGGGACACATTTGGATCAGAGAATTTCATTTAAGCTGTTGATCTGAATTTGCAGAAATGACCTTAGTGTTGAATAACTGAACTAATGCTGCAACATTAAATAAACATTTATAGAAGAGCTGTACAGCAATATGAGGGTAGCATAATCTCAGTGTTTACTCTAGAGTTTATTGCTTTACTTCAGAATATATAGCAGACTGAGACTACACATCCGAGTTAATGACATGAACTACACTGCATTATATTCATTTCTGACAACGAAACGACGATAAACAACTGATTTTAACCACTAATAATCAACTTCATACTCCTCAAACTATCTGCTGTTATGACTATAAACATTACGCCAAACTACACCTCATTTACATGTTAAAACACGCGATTTCTCTGAGCTGAAACACTAGTGTTGGACTCGGATCCAGAGCCGCGACTCACTGACACTCACGGCGCATCAGAATAACATTTAAAGACGTTATCATCGTCTACTTCAACATATACAGCAGAGATAATGTTTTATTAACTCATCCAAACACTGAGTAATGAGAAACGGGAGTTATATGAGAGCGATAGAGAAGATGTTTGAAGATTGCTCTCTCGGGCCACAAACACTCACCATTTTAGCAGAAGAGGTGCGGATCCAAAAGAGGCCGAGCAACTGCGCATGCGCGATTTACCAGCGCTGACAGTGAAGCATTATGGGATACCGGAGGACCAACTCCAGCAAGCGGCCGGAAACACCGCACAGAATGTTATTGTTATAATATGTTAGGTTAATACATAATCATCTCAGGAAATATCCAGCAATAGCTTTTAAATATAGATATGTATTCGCTTGTGTGTGGGTGTGTGTATATGTGTGCGTCATTCATTTTTAAAAGTATAATTTCCTTTTTATATATAAATTATATTATATAGTTTATTTTTTAATATATATATATATATATATAAATTATATTATATAGTTTATTATATATATAGTATTAGATTATAATCATAATTATATATAAAATATATATATTACATATAAAATATATTTTATATATTTAGAAAACAATATTATTCTATCATATATTATATATGTATAAAATAATAGAATTATAATACAATTCGTTTAAAAATGATTTATATATGTGTGTACATAATATACAAATATTTTATTATATACTATACA